GTTCGGGTTGTAGCCAGCAACCACTGAGAGTATTAAGCCTATCTTAATATTTTTAATTCAGTTGTAGTATAATGGAGTTAGTGTAGTTGTGCCCTCCAGTAAGATGTCTGTAAGATTTAACGTAGCTGATGATAGATGGGTCAGGTCGTTTGCTTGTTAATATCTTATTCGACGTCATTATGGCGAGTCTTAGTTTAATGTTTAAAATTCATTAAGAATGGTACTCGGTCATTTATATCTTATTGTGTGAATGATATCATTGTTTACAGCTATATGTTTAGGTGAAGCAAGCAGAGAATTTAAAAGAAGTAATATATTGAATATCATAGGACTCAGATCACTTCCCTTAGTTTATTTTTTTTATTTTGCCGCCGAAGCGGCAACCAAAGACATATGGATACACACACAAGACGTAGGGACTAGGTCTCAGAAGGGATTTACAGGATTACAGTTGGATTTACAGTATACAATTGTCTTATCTCTTGCAATCAAATTTAGGATATATACTTAATATATCTAACTTATTTTTATTAATAACATGACATATCATTATAAGTTATTATAATACTGTTTCTCTATATTCTTCAGCACGTGGACAGTCAAGAACATGAACGAAAATTTAAGAAAGTGACCATTAAGTTGACTACAAACTTTACATTTAGTCTGATCATCAACTATATGTAGGCTTGGTCATGGACTAGGCCTCTGAGGCCTAGTATACCAAACTGCCGTAAGTACTTGTAACCAAGTTAGGCTAACCCTGGCTCTATAACAGTCGGTATGTGTACATTCCAAGTTGCCTTGTAAACATCCTTATGTACATCCTGTTGCCATAGTGAATTATATCACAAACTTCTAACTTCTACAACATTCATTGTTTAACTCTCTTAATGTGTGTAGCATTATTCCTAAAGCTAGACGCAGAAATAGGAAAGTTATATTCTATAATTTTCTTGAGGGAGGGGGGGGGGGCGGATGTGATGTACCAAGGGACGTCTCTTTCGTCCCACTTCTAAAATATATTGATAGTAGAAAATATTCTTTGATAGGTAACCAATTAACCGACCGAGTAGACTAGCACCAGTAATTCATGTAGGTTAACAGTTCTATTATAGATATAAAATACAGATTTTTAAATAAGGAAATGTAAAACTAATAGAAGAGTGCAGTGAGAAAGGCGGTAATACAATTTTGCACGCTTTATAGCTCATAAAATTATATAGTTGAAAGTTGGTGTCAGATTTTGTAGTATAGTTTATCATCATACTTTGTTTAGTGTTATTCATCATTCATCGACACCATGCCTAACCCTTCTAGGGTAGGGTAGGTGCCTGAGCCCGAGCCTTTAGCTCATAAGACTGTCATTCCCATTAGCCTCCTTGGGGCGGGGATGGCAGACCAGAGAAGCCTAGCTTGTGGCTAGGCCTGGGGACAGTTGGTCCCAAAGATGAGGAGGTACTTGTGCCTCCTCCCATGGGAGACTTAGGTCTCAGACACTCCCTAAAGAGGGAGCCAAGGCCGGGCCACCACTTGGAAAAGGCCCGGGCCGGGAGAATACCGGCTAATCTTTAATAATAATAATAATAATAAATAATAATAATAATATTCATCATCATCACTAGGCTTTGGATACAGTCCGGTGGATATTTTTATTACAAGGCTCTCTACACCTATCTTATGATAGCTGCTCTCTGGATATTATCCAGTGGGTATAGCCACTGGATAGCATCGTTTATGTTGATATTCCTACTGGCACGAGTAACTAAAGAATCTGACGATGGGTTGAGTCAGGTTTTACAACTATTTTTTTTTTTACGAAGCTTAGCATTCTGTCAGCTATGTTACTCTCACCTTAAATTCTTTAGTTTGGTGTCATTGCTACCAACTGCTCGAAGATTCTTCTATTTTTCTCGGCTGATGAGTTTCCAGTGTATTATCTTCTCGTGTTTCATATTTATATGCAAAATGGGCTTTGCTACACCAATGAAATACTTTTTCGACGTCTCCGGCCACTGTTGATCTCTACTGGTCCCCTCTGAGGGAGGCCATACAAGACTCGCAGCAGTGGATTCAAGTTGGAGAAATCTAGATTTAGAAATGATGTAGGAAAATACTGGTTTGATAGTAGAGTTGTAGATGAGTCGAAGAAACTCCCAGGTAGTATTATTGAGGCAAGAACTGGGTGGCTTTATATATACAGTAGGTTGGTCAGGCTTATGGATGTAGGTGGGCAAGAGTTGGATCTGCCTAATATGAGTCAGTAGGCCTGCTGAATTGTTCTTAGTTCTTTTGAGGGCAAGTGTGCCAACTCCTACTGTTCACCTACCTACTGATACCTAACAGGTAATTGGCTGTTGTGGGCAGCATCCTAGATAACTTTGGCTTCTCCGTATGGAAGAAAGCCACACTGGCTTTCTTAGATCATCGTGGATTGTAAACCTGCCAGGGTTAATAACCCCAAGAAAGTCTTCGAATCCTCCTACAATCGGCCACTGATGCACCCTTTTTCTCAATCTCATGTCATCAGAGAATCTTGCTATTAGAATTTTAGTCCCGTTTTCTCCTTTACGAAAACTGTGAAAAAGATTGGGTAAGGAGCGCCCTGAGGACCCCGCTCGTTTCGTCCCACTCCCCACTCTTCCCCTTCACGACCACTATGGGAAAAATAGTGGGGGAAAGAAGTGTGGGGGGAAAGGGGTAGGAAAGGGGGGTGAGAGAAAGTGGGGGGGGGGGGAAGGAAAGAGTGATTGGGGGGAGGGAAAAGAGGGAAAGTGGGAAAGGGGGAAAAAAAGAAAAAAATGCATTAGAAAGAACGAAAGAGAAAGGAGGGAAAAAAAGTAAGGAAGGGGGGGAGAGATGGAGAGAGAATACAAAAAACTATAGCCAGGGAAATGACGTTGTTCCGTCCATGTCTACATTCCTGTCACCCGACACGTAACGCAGTTTTTTGGGAATGCATACACATGTGCGTGTTATACACAGGAAGTCAAGGACCTCCGTTTTTAGGCAAGGGGACATTGATGTCACTACTCAAACCTTGGCTCATTACGACCGTGGCATTTCCTCTTTAAAGGGCGGTGCCTGGAGGCTCGTGAAGGGTTCCCCGAAAACAATGAATAGTCAGAGTGCGGGTAAATTTAGAATGCAGTTTAAAAATTTTGTTTTTTAAAATTTTAAGGGAAATAAAAAAAGGATTCACAAGTCTCCAATTGGGAAAATAAAACCAAATTTGGTTTAAAAAAAAGGTAAATTAAGGTAACGCGACCCCGTTCTAACTTAAATCTTCAGAGGGACCAAAGAGACCAATATCCTTGAATACGCAAGCATGCTTGAAACAGCTCAGACTTTGCGCCATCAGGTAATCAGAATGGAAGGATTGAAGCTAATCATATGCAACACTCAGAAATTCTCACATTAAAAGCAACATTTCAGTGTTGAGAATTCCCACCCTCAAAAAAAAAAAAAAAAAAAAAATGGAACCTACACAGGCCAGAATCAGTGCATTTTTTTTTTTTTTAGATTAACAGGCTTTTAGGAAAGTTAGTTCTATGTAACTTGGACATAATAAATCGTACAAACTAACAAAGATATTTTTTTCGTTTAAGGAAAACACAATGACAGTGAAAGTGTCAAGTTGACCGAAAGATGCACTTTGTTATTGCACAGAATCTTCCTACGTCATACATCAGTCACTGAAGATTGATGATGTCGTTCAAAATGTTATATTTTAATAAAAGGAAAGTAATAAATCCAGAGAAGCCATAAAAGCGCCTGTGAAATGAGAGGCATTCATTCAGTCCAGGCAAGAGGAGGATAAGCCCAGTTTCTTGGATCAAGAGCCCCTCACCACCATCAAGACAAAATACTCCGAGCAAGAATAATACCATTTTGAGATTAAAAGTGGCAAACTGGTATCTACAACATTAAATATGCCAACCTTCTTCTGAGGTACGCCAGTGTTGACATTTTGATGACTCTCACAGGAGCAGACTGTCTCCACTTATCGCAACAAAATTTGAGACTTGCCTATGTAACATTGTACATAGAGCGCCCACGTGTGAAAATAGTAAACGAATCTAGTCTAAGATGCATTACACAATCGTTGAAAAATTGAAGCCGATCGAATAAGGCATTCTGGAGTAATAAACGAAAATGATCCTGAGAATATTCCGAAAAAAATGGAATTTTTCCGCGTGAAAAAACACCATAAAACCGCTGTGGTGTTAATTTTTTCCAATTTACTTTTCTCACCTACAACTGGCAAATTGTTACCCAAAAAGCCCAAAATCAGTAAAAAAAAAATGCTCTCTATTAAGATCCACCAGCCTTTAGGATTTACAACTGATCAGAAGAGATCTGCTCTAGTTATTACATGGGAATCAGTTTGCTTAATAAAACTGGCAAATTGAAACTTAAACAACTTAAAATGAGTGACAAGCTGCTTTTTAATGAAAGTCCACCAATGATAGAAGTTCGAAGCCGATCAGAAAAGACATTCTCGAATAATTTATCCTATTCGAACATTTTCATTTTTTTTTAACTATTTCAGTAAAATTTAAATTTTGCAGCAACTCCGGCTAAACTTGTGAGTCATCCTTACACAATGTACCGTCAGTAATATTTTTAAGGCAATCAGAAGAAGTATTCTCTAGTTATTGAATAAAAAATGAAAGTCACTATTCAATAAAATTGCCAACTTGGGACAGACGTAGGAGGGAGCAGAGACTGACGTAGGAGGGAGCAGAGACTGACGTAGGAGGGAGCAATGACTGACGTAGGAGGGAGCAATGACTGACGTAGGAGGGAGCAGAGACAGACGTAGGAGGGAGCGGAAGCTAAATGCCCGAATAAATCGAAGAAACGTACAACATAAGGAAGGAAGGGGCACTGCCGCAGGCCTACTGGCCCATATCTTCAGTGTAAGGTTAGTGAGTGTCAGCAGTCACATGACAACTGTTTAACATAGTGTAACACGGTAAGGACTGCAGGAAAGCACTCACTAGTCATGAGGTCTCTGGCCAGGGCTGACTGCTGTAATGACCTGAGGTGTCGCTGGTACAGTCTCTTCTGTGCCAGTAAGGCCTCAGCAGACTTCAGCTTGGCCCTGGCAGCTAGGGTGGCAGCAGACTCCTGTTGGGTGGTGCTTGCTGGGCACTCTCCTGCACCTGGGGCTGACGACTCCACTCTGGAGATGGAATGACCTTGATCCTTGTTCTCAGACGCTTGTTGCCTAGAAGAATGGAAGTGAAAGATAAGCTGTACGAAATTTTAAGCATGAAATACTTCTTAGCCAGAGTTGCTTAACAGATTTTTCTTTAGGTAACTACTATGCCTATCTATAATCCTCACTGAGTGAACAATAAAAGGCACAGTATTGAAGACAGTGACCAAAAGTCTTACTACATATTTTACAATTAGTTCGATCATCGTCTTTGTTATTATCAAACTATCTGAAGTACCCTTAACCATGTTTAATGCTAGCTGTGTTAGGTAAAAGGACACGTGCAACTAATGTGACATTTTATTGTGGCAACGTTTCTCTCCAGGAGCTTTGTCAAGCCGTTCCTGGAGAGCGAAACGTTGCCACAATAAAATGTCACATTTGTTACGTCTGGGTCCTTTTATCTTAACATTTTGTCGGTAATTGTACCATTATTATTGTGATGAATGGTTTGAAAAACCGACAAGTTGAAGATTGAGACACTTATGCAGCATCATTATGCAGCTCATTATTTTACATTTGTTAAATAATTCAGGTGCTATTTTTTAGCTTAAGACTATTTACTTTGTTTTATACTTAATTCTAACTATAGATTCACTACAAATCTTATGATTACAAGCATTGATTATGATACCAACCTCTTATTTAATGACTTAAATGATTCAAACAGTTACTGTAATTACTACACTGCAGAACAATCAAAGGCACTTCTCAGTGCCAACAACAACATAACTATTTTTAACTACAATATCAGATCTTTAAGCAAGCATTACGATGACCTCATAGCATTACTAAATTCCTTACATGCCAATATGTCCATCATTACACTAACTGAAACCTGGCTAAAGCCTGATAGTACAGATGTCTATGCCATTCCTGGTTACACAGCCATACACAACTGTAGGCCAGACCAACAAGGGGGTGGCACAGCCATATACTACTCAGACCAACTAGAATGTATCACTAATACTTGCACAAGGGATGAACATGGGGAATATATAATAGCCAAATTAAAATCCAAATACCTACAAAAACCTCTCACATTGATAAACATTTACAGAGTTCCACAGTCAAACATTAGCCAATTTAGTCAAAACCTAGGAGTAGGATAACTGATGCACGCATGAACAAAGTCACTTACTACTCTCAGGTGACTTCAATATATAAATCTCCTGCAAGACCAGGACCCACACGTTACTGAATTCACAAACAAAATGAGTAAACTGTATGTTGCTACCAACAGTAACAAACCTACAAAAATTTTAGGGGACTAGTGTTTCCCTATTTGACCACATCTGGACCAACCCATATCCCCTTTAAAATCAGGCATAATTACAGATAATACCACAGACCACTACCCACTTTTCCTCATAACAACTCTTGGTAAATTACCCCAAGACACTACTAAAGTCACCTTCAGACTTCACAATGAGGCAGCCTTTAAAATAATTTTCAACAACAGCAGTAGCAACATTGACTGGCACACTGAGCTAGAAATCTATACGATATTGACGAATGTATTAATAATTTTCTAAAAAGACCCAATACCTCTATAAAAAGCACTGCCCTAAAAAAACTAAACAGATGACAGCTAAGAGACGAACAGTCCCGGTTAACACCCAGCATTCTCAAATCCATAAATACAAAACACCAATATGAAACAGTCCCAGAATGGGTCCCCTAACCAGAGACCAAACAAAACCGTTACTCGTAAAATCCTAACCAGCCTGATAAGAAGGGCAAAAAAATTGTATATGAGAACAGATTATCCAACTTACGAGGTGAAAATAAAAAAGCCCCGGGAAAAAACCCTATCAGAAATTCTAGAACAAAAAAGATATCACGAAATAGCGAAATAAAATTAGCAAAATCAGATAACCCCCAACTCCCACCAACAGAACAGCAAACAGACTCAATGACTTCTTCTCCACTATAGGACAAAACCTTGCCAATAAATCCCAAGCTCAGTACCCCACCAAATGACTACCTCACTGGCAACTACCCGAACACACTGTTCCTAGCTCCGACTAACCCATACGAAGTCTCCCTTATTATCAAAAACGCTAAAAAACAAGGCAGGATGATTTAAATACCTTACCACCCTTTATATACAAAAAAAAGTGCCCACAAGTGCTATCACCAATCATTGCAACACTCTTTAACAAATCCATTGAATCCTCCACCTTCCCCACAGTACTCAAAATTTGCAAGGGTCACCCGATCCACAAAGGAGGAGACCAAACAGAGTTGAATAACTATAGGCCCCTATCCAACTTACACCCTCTCTCAAAAATCTTCGAAAAATTAATTCATAAACGAATCTACTCCTACCTTATCTCCCAAAACCATCCAACCCCTGCCAATTTGGATTCAGGCCAAAATAAAAATCTAATGATGCTATTAAAACACATGCTAGAACATATATACACTGCAATAGAGAAAAAAGAAGTCCCACTGGGACTTCATTGACTTACGTTAAAGCTTTTGATACAGTTAACCATGACTTGCTCCACGTAAAATTGTCACACTATGGTATAAGAGGGCACTCCCTCAACTACCTCAAGTCATACCTCAGCAACAGAAGCCAATATGTGTATGCAAATGGGGCAAACTCTTCTGCCCCAAAACCCAAATTTCAGTTGGTGTCCCACAGGAAGTGTCCTTGGCCCCCTTCTCTTTCTCCTATACATAATGACCTACCAAATGCTTCGCAATTACTCAAAACCCCCACTATTTGCAGATGACACTACCCTACGTCCTTCTCCCACCCGGCCCAGTCACGCTAGCCAATACTGTAAATACAGAATTACAGAAAATATTTTACCTGGATGAGGACTAACAAACTTACACTAAACATTTACAAAACCTACTTCATTCAGTTTGGTAACAGAGCTACAGATGTCCCTCTTAACATAAAGATAAACGGATCACCTATCACAAAGCTAACAGAGGGAAAATTCTTAGGGAATCCACCTTTATAATAGACCTCAAATTTCATACCCCATATACAACAAATTTCTAAGAAAATTTCCAAGACTGTAGCATACTATCGAAAATACGGTTTCTATGCTCCACAGTCAGCCCTCCTGGCCCTATTCACTCTCTTATTTACCCCTATCTCACCTATGGAATTTGTGCATGGGGCTCAACAACAAGTAACCATCTCAGACCACTAATTTACCCAAAACAAAAGGCTGCAGTTAGAATGATAACAAATTCTCATATGGGCAGCACACTCCACCAATATTCAATACACTAAAACCTATTCACCATACAAAACATTCATACTTTATTACTGCACCTATTACATACATAGAACACTTAACTCTGATATTAACCCTCCCCTCAAACATCTCCTTGCCAACCTCAACAGAACACATGGACCATAACACAAGGCACAGATCACTCTTTGATGTTCCTCGTGTCCCATCTCAACTATGCAAAAACTCAATGCACATAAAAGGCCCTAAAATCGGGAAAACTCATTACCTGTAAATATAAAAGAAAACACTACCTGTTTATAAATTCAAGTCTCTTCTCAAAGATCACTTACTCACCCAAACCCAAATAAATACTGAAAAAACTGAACCTTATAAATTGTATATCTTAAATATTTCTCACAATTAATCACATAAATGTTAAACCTAAACCCAATCTAACTTCATTATTTTTAATACACTACCTAACAGAATACTCCATTCTACTGAATGTACAACAATGCATACAACCATATGACCTGTCTTTGTATACTCACTTGTGCTTTATAGTAATCTGTTTTTCATTAAGTTTTAAACCCCCGATGTCATCATTGCTTAGTTCATCTTAAGTTAATTTTAAGCCAGCCCGTAATGCTATGCTGTAATAGTGGCTTTGGCATACTGCTCTTTTCTGTATTTTTTGTACCTCTGTATGTGTGCACAAATTTTTAAATAAATAAATAAATAAATAAATATGGGAATTCTTTATTCAGGAAACGTTTCGCCACACAGTGGCTTCATCAGTCCAATACAAAGAGGAAGGCATAAGGAGAGGAGGAGTGAGGTAATCAGTCCCTCAGCCTGGAGTCGATGTGTTCAGTCCATCAATCTTGTGTCTCAATCTCCACCATTATTATTAATCCTGGTTGCTACAAGTCACTTTACATTGCAGGTTGCTCTGCGACTGTTATCACAGTGGGTTATAAATCAATCTACTTAAAATTCTAAATATATTCTTGAGACATTCACATTCATCATTTAAGGCTGGCCTGGTTTTATATAGTATTCTAGATATTGATATGCTAATTGTTTTATTTACACTGGTTTTCGATGTGTTAGAGAAAAAAATATAAGCTCTATATAAGCTCTCCTCACAAATAATTCACACTGAACACGTTTCGGTCCATCGTGAACTATTATCAAGCCACATTTGTCATGTTTTTAAATGCTGACCTTGTTCAGCTGTGGTCTTGTGGCCTGGCTTCGACTACTCTTGTTCATCACCTTTCTCGTATATAATCATGTCTTACAGTGTGAGTTGCACGAACGCCTGCGTGCCTTTAACCCCTAAATAGCAGTGGGTGTTATTGCTTAGCGGCTCGAGGCGACATGAAAGGTGGCTGGAGGTGTAGTGTAAACAGTCGGCCATTACTCTGCACAGCCACCAGGTGGGCCCAGCTGGCTGGCTCGCGCCAACCTCGGCTTCTCACTTACACCCCTCCTTCTGCCGCTATTTTGAGGCTCTTATCGTCTATTGGCCTTGTTCATTAAGGACCGGAGAGACAGAGACTATCGCGTGAGATGTGGATGCAAGATATTAACGGTGTGTGGAGTGAATGTGTAGTAATACAAAAGAGGCTCTCTCACTTACACAATTGTTAAACAAACAAGTTGATAGCTGCCGCCCTCGCTGATATTTTTATCACAAGGCAAGTACCATCTTTTTTTTTTTATCTCACCACTGCTGTGGACTAACATCTTGCTGTCCCTCTACAAAGGGGAAACTCTTAGGCGGTAAACAAAGCGGATTATGTACATAGTGTTGCAGCCCAAGGAGGAACGAGGAGGGAGAAGTGCCAAGCAACTTAGCGAACATGAGAGGGTAAACAGAAGCGAGCAAAGAGTGAGGAGGTGAAGGGGATGATGATGTTTCTCTCAGGAGGGGCACGGCAGCTAAGTGTTTCATAACAAACTGTGAAGTATTACAGCTGACGACGGCCACAGTGAGGCGGCAAAAAGTTGAATGAATGCGTAACATGATGATTTTACGTCGCTCTCCTCAGGGTCACTTTACTCCTGCATAAGGAAAGATTAGACCAGGGATGCCACTATTTTTTTTTACCGGAATTATCGTACAGTGCTCACCAAATTAACTCATCCTTATTATCGCACAAAATTTTTATAAGCTGATAACTGCGCTGTTTTGCATCATCATTTCTAATAACCATTTGCATAAGAGCTGTTTTAAATAAGAAAAAGGACAAATAATCTTCATACAATATTCAATGGCTATCATAACTCGCAAAATCGCATTAACACAATTGTAAACAAACCACGGAACGGGTGGGTTTTGAACCTATGACGAGTGAGTCCTAAAACTCGTAGATCATTGCGTTAACTACTGGGCCAGCTGCCTCTAATGATTCACCCAACTAGGTATATTTCTATACACCATAGGGAAGTTAGCATGGGCCACCACTGTAACCACAAATGCAGATTTTTAACCAACTGGCCGAGTGGTTAAGAATCTGGCCTGTGAGTTTTACTACTCGCTTACCATGGTTTCAAACCTCATCCGTTCCATGGTGTCACTGGCTATCGATATGATAAGCACATCAACCCAAATTTGACTGAAAATATTGGTTTCTCATAGCTGACTTCACTCCTATCATACTGTAGACGAACTTGAAGAATAGTTATAAGAATTTGTTGATGAATGGTTCAGAGAACCGACATGTTGATAAATTAGACACATGTGCAACTCTTGGGTATCTTTATTGTGGAAACGTTTCGCCACACAGTGGCTTCATCAGTCCGTACGTAGGAGAAACTTGAAGAACAGGAGGAGAATGAGGTAATCAGTCCCTCAACCTTGAGGGACTCAAGGTTATAAGAATAACTAGGGTTGTTTGTACAAATTATTCTTATGCAATAGCTTACTATACTTCACACGAATGATCGTATCTTCGGAGTGACTCAACTTGACACAAGATCCTTGCTCACTTATACATTCATAAATTAGTAACGCACCATTAACATTGAATTCGGTTTATTCCTCGTATTTATTTTATAAATATTAATATTACTGAAAAGTTTCGCATTCTGTTACAAGCAAATGAAGGATCTTTTGTAAAGTGTCTGGCATCTTGTATCTCGTTTTCTTTATCACACTATGCTGCATCACGACCGAATAAACAGAGAAACAGCACATCCCATCCAAATTCCAGAACGTAGGTACTGTACCTCTCACTTTCCCAACTCAACTCGGGGTTACTGATTTTTGTAAATCCCTTTACCGGCATTATCTCGCTCACACTCCAACACCACATCAAACCTCAGAAACCTCTTGCCTACATTCCGATCTAACAGGTTTACTCAAGAGTGCAAAAAGCTAATGATCGTACCTCTCAAAAAACCACCTTCACGCACCAAATTTAAGCAGATTTATATAATTTCTTGATTAACCTATCTTGCTTTCCCCGTCTGCACCTAAATCATGCCCTTCTTTGGTAGTTACAGTTGGGTAGTGTCTGTCTCACGCTTAGCTGACGGAGAATCGAACCTTCACCACTTGTGCTGAATGACCCACACAGATTTATGGTTTAACATATCACGCATTCTCTGCATAGTATTCACACCACACAACATATGGAAAAGATGCTTCAGGTTATAGTAGAGATATTGAGGTATACAAGCACTGCATTCAACTTCCTGGAGGACAATATCCATTGTCTTTGAGAACATAATGGGTAGTGGCACTGAGGTAATGTCATACAAGTGGGAATGGTGTGGTGTGAGGTGGATCCGCCTAGCATGGAGCATGAGTCTTGCCGAAGTGATTATGTTCGTATATCCCTAGAGATGTGTATATCTCTCACTGTGTGTCTTGGCTTGAATTTAATCTCTATGTTCATGGATTATTGTTCATGTTAGTGTACGGGTAAATTACCACCTTAATGAAAGACGTGCACTACACACACTAGATTTTATGTTAATGTGTATAGTAAACCGTTCAGAAGTAGATTTTGAACGGTTGCAAATGAACGTTAATGACGTAACACCTAAAGTACTTGTTGGGGAGGGGAGAAGAGAAAGGTGGTTACATGTTGAAGGACTTAATCAACGGAAATGGAGCTGTCCTGCCTCACCCTGGGTCAGAGCTGGTTACCTTCTATTCCCAAGCGCTCTGTGACTTACGGGTTTAGCGCATGAACATGAATATAATAACGACTGACCTTCTAAGAGCGACCTGAGCCGCCATGACTCTCTGTCGTTCCACCACCAGCAGACAATTAGCACAGCGACAGTCTCTCCACCGGCACAACTTCTTGTGACCCTTCAGGCAGGACACCACCCCGTGGTTCCTGCAACGGGCACACTTAGGTGTCCGCAGGAGGCGGCGGGAGGACACTAGCGGCTTCTTGCCACTTAAGGAAGCTGAAGTCTTGGTGGCTGCGTGTGTGAGCGTGGTGACCCGGGGCGCCGTAGCGCCCAGTCTTGTATCCTCGCTACTCATCCTGTAATATGCGCAACGAAAATACATAATGCATTCTTTAAAACAGCGTGATATGTAAGTGTATATGTATGGTATGTATATGTATGTATAAGTAAATATGCATATGTATTTATGTCCTGCGGAATTGGTAAAACTTGCGATTTTGGCTTAAATAACAACGCTTTTCTTGCCGAATAAGGCAAGCGAAAATTTGTGTATGAAATAATTTAGAAAAATCATTCTGAACCTAACGGAAAAAAATATATTTTACTGTTTATTAAATTATTGTAAACTTATCTAAAATATATTTAGTTGGATTAGGCTAAATTAAATTGTGCTTGTTATGATAAGGTTAGGTAAGTTTTCTAAGGTTCTTTTGGTATAAAATTATTAATTTTTACATTAACATAAATGAAAAATATATATGTAATAAAGCTGGTAGAATTACCGACAATATGTAAAGTAAAAGGACACAAGTGCAACTAATGTGACATTTTATTGTGGCAACGTTTCGCTCTCCAGGAGCTTTATCAAGCCTTTACAAACAATACATGGACACAGAGGGTATATAAAGGCTAAGAGTGAGGTGTAATACTAGTGAGGTACCATTTCGATGTTCACTAGTGGTGGTAGTAGTAGTAGTAGTAGTAGTGACAAAAGTAATACAATATGGTAGAGCAATTAATTCGTACATGAGTTGAAGGATATAAAAGCTATTACTTGGGTAACATAAAAATAGGTTGGGCAAATATAGATTGGAAAGAGGCAGCTTGTTTGTGTTCACTCTGTAATGTGCTTTGTGTAGTATAACAGGAGAGACTGTGTGATGGCAGGGTTTACTGTTTTCAGGAGGATTCTTGCTAAGACTTCGGAGATGGTGAAGCTGCCGTTGTTTTGTTTAATTGTATTCGAAACAGCGATCAGTGCTGATTCGAGGCACTTGCGTCTGCGGAAATTAGTTTCTTTGATCACTAATTGGGCGTCTCTGAATTTCATGAGATGATTGGTGGAATTTCGGTGTTGTACACAGACGTTGTTCAAGTTATCGTTCCTACTACTACTACTACTACTACTACTACTACTACTACTACTACTACTACTACTACTACCACCACTAGTGAACATCGAAATGGTACCTCACTAGTACTGCACCTCACTCTGAGCCTTTATATACCCTCTGTGTCCATGTATTGTTTGTAATGGCTTGATAAAGCTCCTGGAGAGCGAAACGTTGCCACAATAAAATGTCACATTAGTTGCACTTGTGTCCTTTTACTTTACAAAAATATATATGTTTGAACGTAAAAGAGAAATTTTTTAGAAAGAACTTAATTTTAAATGAGTTCTTGCTAATTGACCAGTTTTACCTATTCGCAGGATAAAAGTGGCAGCCCACGGCCTCTAGTAGTTTCTTTATGACCTGGAGCCCGCTCATTGCGCTACTGTCTACCTCTCACAGTTGTTGCAGTAGACAGCACTGCTGCCTCTCCTGCCGCCTCTCCTCAAACTTCGTCACTCTTATCTCCCATTTTTTTTTTAACTCTTACCAAAATTTCAAATCAGAGCAGAAAACGAATCAAGGTTGAGCCTAATTCAAAACACTTTTCACAAAAAGAAGACATCCAATTTAATAAGTCAATCTTCATCAAAGGTATCAACAGGAAACAAAAAAAAATGAAGCTTTGACCAATTAATATTAACCGGCTGAAACTGAAACATTTAGACGTAAATTCTGAAGGTCTCCATAATGAGGAGTATTGCTGGGAGACAGGCAGGTGTATCCCCCCCTTCTGACATTTGTAATATTCAACCTTATGTGCCACTGACGTGAGGATCTTAGTTTTTCCTTGGTTTAACTTGACTTCTTTCCCTGATCGCTACCACGAGTGTGAAATCCAATATCAAATTCGGAGGTTTGCCAAGATGAGAGACGCCGAGTATTTTTAGGGATAAATACATGCATTGTTTATGAGGGTTTGTGGGGGAGGGTTGATGGGGTGGGTGTTCTTGTGGTAGTAGTGGTGCTGTGGCAGGGGATGGTGGTTGTAGAGTAATGGTAGTGATGTTGCAGTGGGTGGTGGTTGAAAGAGTAATGGTGGTTGGTGTGACAGGCGATGGTTGTTGTAGAGTAATAGTAGTGGTGGGGTACGAGGTGTGGTACGAGGGGTGGGCGAGGGTGTGGTATAGGGTTGTGGTTACGAGGGTGTGTGCGAGGGGTGTGGTACGAGGTGTGGTGCGAGGTGTGGTACGAGGTGTGGTACGAGGTGTGGTGGGCGAGGGTGTGGTACGAGGGTGTGGTATGAGGGTGTGGTGCGAGGGTGTGGTGCGAGGGTGGGACGAGGGTTGGTACGAGGGTGTGGTACGGGGGTGTGGTGGGATGTGAGATACGTCCTATTCTTTAGTTTTAATGTCATTTTTCATTACATTCCCTTGAAATTAAACGAAGCATTTTCCAACTTGAATATTGATTCCGCAACTTTTTTTTTTTTTTTTTTTTTTTTTTTTTTTTTTTGGGGGGGGGGGGATGCTAGGTTTACACAAGCGCCAGAAAGCACTATGATGTAGGTGGGTAGCACTGCCATGATGGGCCCAGTATGACGTGGAATATTAATCATAGGCCTAGGGATGAGGGAGAGAGAACGGTAAGAGGTTTCAAAAGGCAATGGAGACACAAGTTCTCACTGGTGGTGCGTCTCTCAGAATCCCAAACTGACTCTCCAGACTGTCACTCAAGGCTCTATAAAGTCTCTTTCCATGTTAGCAGCGTAAGTTCCCACTTGTATTCATCAGCGTCTCATAATATCCCCCATCCCTGCGGTGCATGTTTATTATTATTATTATTGTTATTATTTATTATTATTTTTTTTATTATCACACTGGCCGATTCCCACCAAGGCAGGGTGGCCCGAAAAAGAAAAACTTTCACCATCATTCACTCCACCACTGTCTTGCCAGAAGGGTGCTTTACACTACAGTTTTTAAAACTGCAACATTAACACCCCTCCTTCAGAGTGCAGGCACTGTACTTCCCATCTCCAGGACTCAAGTCCGGCCTGCCGGTTTCCCTGAACCCGTTCATAAATGTTACTTTGCTCACACTCCAACAGCACGTCAAGTATTAAAAACCATTTGTCTCCATTCACCCTATCAAACACCTCACGCATGCCCGCTGAAGTCAAGCCCCTCGCACACAAAACCTCCTTTACCCCTCCCTCCAACCTTTCCTAGGCCGACCCCTACTCTGCCTTCCTTCCACTACAGACTGATACACCTTGAAGTCATTCTTTTTTCGCTCCATTCTCCTACATTCCGAACCACCTCAACAACCCTTCCTAAGCCCCTGGACAACAGTTTTGGGCAATCCCGCACCTCCTCCTAATTTCCCAAAAACACGAATTCTCTGCATTATATTCACACCACACTTTGCCCTCAGACATGACATCTCCACTGCCTCCTCCCCTTCTCCTCGCTGCAACATTCACCACCCATGCTTCACACCCATATAAGAGTGTTGGTAAAACTATACTCTCATACATTCCCCTCTTTGCCTCCAAAGACAAAGTTCTTTGTCTCCACAGACTCCTAAGTGCACCGCTCACCCTTTTCCCCTCATCAATTCTATGATTCACCTCATCTTTCATAGACCCATCCGCTGACACGTCCACTCCCAAATATCTGAATACATTCACCTCCATACTCTCTCCCTCCAATCTGATATCCAATCTTTCATCACCTAATCTTTTTGTTATGCTCATAACCTTACTCTTTCCTGTATTCACTTTTAATTTTCTTCTTTTACACACCCTACAAAATTCATCCACCAACCTCTGCAACTTCTCTTCAGAATCTCCCAAGAGCACAGTGTCATCAGCAAAGAGCAACTGTGACAACTCCCACTTTATGTGGGATTCTTTATCTTTTAACTCCACGCCTCTTGCCAAGACCCTCGCATTTTACTTCTCTTACAACCCCATCTATAAATATATTAAACAACCACGGTGACATCACGCATCCCTGTCTAAGGCCTACTTTTACTGGGAAATAATCTCCTCTTTCCTACATACTCTAACCTGAGCCTCACTATCCTCGTAAAAAACTCTTCACTGCTTTCAGTAACCTACCTCCTATACCATACACCTGCAACATCTGCCACATTGCCCCCCTATCCACCCTGTCATACGCCTTTTCCAAGTCCATAAATGCCACAAAAACCTCTTTAGCCTTATCTAAATACTGTTCACTTATATGTTTCACTGTAAACACATGGTCCACACACACCCTACCTTTCCTAAAGCCTCCTTGTTCATCTGCTATCCTATTCTCCGTCTTACTCTTAATTCTTTCAATAATAACTCTACCATACACTTTACCAGGTATACTCAACAGATTTATCCCCCTATAATTTTTGCACTCTTTTGTCCCCTTTGCCTTTATACAAAGGAACTATGCATGCTCTCTGCCAATCCCTAGGTACCTTACCCTCTTCCATACATTTATTAAATAATAGCACCAACCACTCCAAAACTATATCCTCACCTGCTTTTAACATTTCTATCTTCATCCCATCAATCCCAGCTGCCTTACCCCCTTTCATTTTACCTACTGCCTCAAGAACTTCCCCCACACTCACAACTGGCTCTTCCTCACTCCTACAAGATGTTATTCCTCCTTGCCCTATACATGAAATCACAGCTTCCCTATCTTCATCAACATTTAACAATTCCTCAAAATATTCCCTCCATCTTCCCAATACCTCTAACTCTCCATTTAATAACTCTCCTCTCCTATTTTAACTGACAAATCCATTTATTCTCTAGGCTTTCTCAACTTGTTAATCTCACTCCAAAACTTTTTCTTATTTTCAACAAAATTTGTTGATAACATCTCACCCACTCTCTCATTATTATTATTATTATTATTATTATTATTATTATTATTATTATTATTATTATTATTATTATTATTATTATTATTACATTCATGGGGTGAACACTGACTGAACCCGTGAAGGTCATACAGCAC